CCTTCGACGATAATTCAAGAGTTGACGCCTTTTAATTGTTGTTACACACCTGAAGAAAATAACGGAGGAAAAAACTGACTACTGCCGCGCTTCGCTCAAGGTCGATTTCCAATTGCTACCCACCATAGATACGAGACCCGTGAACACACGACGTGTACACATTTTTTATACAGTATTTTAGAAACACGAAAACATGACTTGCCTTATTCTTAATGTAACGGGTCGGTATAAAAATATTGGATTTCTTTACTAAGACGTCGGTGTTACATGCAATATAACTCGGTTTCAGATACTTTCTCTTTATCGGAAAAAAAATGAATACTAGAAAATGAACTAATGATTATAATTATAATGAATTTGACATAAAATGACTTGATGATAAACTAGTGCATCTCGTATTAGTGTCCGAAGTGTAGTAAAATGGATTAAATACAAATATTCAGAGTCGTACACTGATACAATTTTTATACTTGGTGGGAAGGGGTATAGTTGTTTTTACGTTGTGTTTTCTTATAAAAATAAAAAATTTAAATTGTTTTGCATTATTTGCAGTACCTATACAATGTATAGTATAAATTAATATTATATTTCTTCACGTTATTAAATATCTTTTATCTAATTCTGTAAACTAAAAAAGGCAGGTAAGTGGATGTCGCTCAGCTGTACAGTAGGTTACAAGTTGGTCATTGTTTAATGGATTGTATTAAACTTGAATTCAATGATATAATATCATTGTATAAGAAAAACGATTTTGAACGGAGACGGTTTGTCAGTCTGTATATTTTATATTGTCATTAATTATTTTATTTATTTTATTATTATTTTTTTTATTCGTTGCTACGGTGATAAACAAATTGTTAGAAATTAAAATCCCATTTTAAGCGGTTTTTCGTAATTTTTCAGTACTTTTTCCCGTGGCATTAAATAACTATTGAGAAAATCGAAAAATGACCTCTCTAAAGTACCATCTTGGTCCAATTTGCTAAAAGATAAGGTACTATATGTTGAAATCAAAGCACTCCTTCTGGTAGAAATTTTGTATACAGGATATAAAAAAAAAAAAATAAATAAATAAATAAACACCATTGTAAAACCACTAGCTTCCTTGCTCCACTCAGAATCTAAAATGTATAAAATGTGCCAGCATAATGTGCACTAAAAATACATTTATAAATACATTTAAAATAAATAAATAGGTATACAAATAATATGTATACCTAAACAAAATTAATTTAATAATTTTAATTTAATTTTCATATTGTAAACATATTATGTATACTATTTATATTGTTAACTCATAACTTCAATCCTCTTGTCTCTTATCTAATCTTTAAATAATATCTAATTAAAAATATTAAACTCGCCGTTCAATGTTCCATGCTTAAACTTGGGTCTCAGAATTATGATGCACAAAATATCGAGATCCTAAGAAAAATAAAGCAATCGTTAAGTTCTTTATTAACTCAGTGGCGAAGCGTTATAGGAGACAAAAACTGTATATTTCCGTAAACAGCTCAAAAAGTGTCAAAATATTATGAAAATGTTATCAAGTATAAGAATTGATTAAATAAACAGTCACTGAAATTTTCACGTATCTAAAATTATTTGTTTTTGAATTACAACAAAATAAGGAAATCACTACATGAGAAATCTAGTGAATATCTAATTTTGTAACAATTTTAATTTCAGACGCTCATAAAAATTGAATTTGACTTTCTTATAGATTTTTTTTTTTTATAAAGGTAGACAAACTTATGAGAAATGTTGTATGACATTTTTATATTTTAGATTTAAAAAGAAGCATTTTTATGAATTTCTAACTCGAAATAATTTGCAAAGTTTCCTCATTTTTACGTATTTTGTCAATATTTTTACTTTAATTGCCTATAACAAAAAACTTTGAGCAAGGATTTTTAATGTTTTTCAAGTGTCAATGTAACAATATAGAAGGATCCATGTATTAAATTTTCAAGTACTTTTTCTCAACAAATAAAGTTTTATTGACATTCATAGAAAAAAAAACTAATAAAATTGGAAACTGAAAATGTAATTTTCAGTTCAAAATAAATCGAAATATTTTGAAAAGCTTAATGTGTATAGAAAACGCAAATATAAACAACCAGTAAAAAGTTCATGTATATCCGGTCATTTGTTTTAAAACTACACCAAAAACCAAAATCGATTTTGCAACGAAAAATTCACGTTTTTCCTTAATTTTTCTTTTGTTTTTAACTACGCTTTTGAAAATTACTGTGAATTTTATATTTTTACCTCTTTAATGCACCAACAATATTTACTTTCCAATCGAACAGGATACTGAAGTTGAAAATCGAAGCATTATTTATACTACTTATCGTGTATAGGTACAGACACAAAAAAAAAATTTTAAATTAAAAAAAAACACACTTCATTGTAAAATCAATACTTTCATCGTTCCACTCAGAATCTAAAAGAAATATACATAATCCTCGATATCCAAATTTACCCAAATTACCAACTACATTAACACAAATTCACGAGATTTTCAAAAGTAGGTATAGAATTTGAGACAATTAAAGGTGAAGACTATATGGTAGTGAACAAATATACAGATAATATATTAGGTTTCTCGACAGTTTGTAATTTACAAGCTTTACTGCTTTACTACTTTGAACACGATTTTTGTGGATGGTACTTTCAAAAGTTGCCCGAAATTATTTTTATCAACTCTTTACTATTCATTGTGTGTTAAATAATAATTATATATTTTTATCCCACTTGTTAATTTTTTACTGCCATCAAAGTCAACTAATTGTTATATTGATGCATTTCAACATTTAGTAGAAGAATATTGAGAAAAAATTACATGCAATTCCTAAGCCTGATAAATGGGAAGGAAAATATTGGTTCTAAATTGGTAATGTAAATTTTAATATAAAAATATAATGGACGCAATTTACACATGCAAAAAAAATACACGGGATGCAATTTACATATACCAAAAAAATACTTGGGACTCAATTTACATCAAAAAGGTACATTTGGACGCAAATCACCCGTTGAATCGATGATGTCGTTAACGATGAAAATAATATACCAGGTTTCAGGTACTACGCACATCCCATCACGATGCATAAGACTTTTTTTCGTTTTTCCACAATATTTTAACAACGCGATCTTAAACATAAATGCCCATTAACGGCTGATTAATCAAGGGTGGTGGTAAACTCTCCCGATTGTATGGTTAACTCACCAGGGTAGCTCACAGCAGCTAAAATCATTACTTTCTATTACAGTTTATACCTACTTGTTAAAACTAGTTCTTTCTAATAATAATCATAATTAACAAATAATTTAAAAATGTATCTAAAATATCTATTGTTCTGTATTAGACATTAGTAATTAGTACATTTTATAAAACATGAATATTTAATTGTTCATATTACAATTAATAAATAATATAAATTAAACAAAACTATCAAAATTCACATAACCTTTATTTCTTTTTAAGTCAAAACATTTATATTTAGCTTAATATTAATATTAATATTAGTATTCATAGGTTAGGTTATATTAATATTAATACTTATACTTAACTTTTTTATTAATAATAGTATATTATCAATATCCAGTGTTGGGTAGTAACGTAAAGCAATGACTTTTTCAGGAACGCAGCAGTGATTGCATTACATTTTACATTTTACTAAGTAACGCACTAACGTGTTATTGTCCACTTTATTAAAAAAATAGTTTTGAATGTATTACAGGTATAGGATATCCCAGAAAAATTAAAAATCAATTATGTTTATTTTTAACTCCGATAATAGTTAACAATATTACTTTATTAGTAGAAAGATAATAGTTCGGTTTAAAAATAAAATTTAATAAAAATTAATTATGATTTATGATTTATGACTATATAGCCATTAGCCAAATAGGTGAGATGATTGTACATAATACTAAAATAGGTCTATTATCACTAGGTCTATGATTGTAAAATATATAAATAATAATTATTGAATCATTTGAATCATATGAATTGAATATGGTTAAAAAAAAGTGATAAAAAAAGTACCGTTATTTGTAATGCACTACTTAATTAATGAAAAAGTAATGTAACGTGATAAAAATAATTTTAGGTAATACAAATGTAATTAAAATAAAAATATTTGAAGTAACGAATAACGTAATTTCATTACTTTTTAAAGGCAATTTACCCAACAAGGTCAATTTTACATTATCTGCCTTCTTGGTATCTGCATATAAAATGTTTTCTAATTACCTACTGATATTTAATGTTCTAATATAAAGTAGGGGCGGCAGAATATTGATACGTTAGTCTATAACAAACTATATAAACAATAACAAGTTTATCAATATTAAAAATGATAATATCACAGTATCAGTTGATAATAAAGATATTTCTTTACAATGCAGACTATGCGCTTTTGATTTTATTTGATTAGCGGGGCCACACAACATTTGTTTTGCTAAAAAATTATTTAAAGGTAAAAAAAATTGGTAAAATTGACGGTAAATTTACAGCACTCACATCTCTAGTTATAGTATTGCGAAAATAGTTATTACATAAATATTTGCCTATTTTGTATTTATGCAATACGAACTTACCTAACTATTAAAACTGTAGCTAATACAATAAATTGTATGTATTTTATAAATTACAGTTTCATATTTAAAATCCCATTTTCTGTTTTGACGCGATCTTAAATAATAGGTATGTCATAGGTACGTATGTGAATATTAATGGACCACCGAAATATACGCTTTTGCAATGTATATCAACAGTCATAAGTTAAGAAAATTAGGTATATCATATTAAAATATAATAATATCATATGCCCGTGTGCGGTTAATTGGTTGTCCGATAGGTGCGCACCTAGCGATCCCTTCTTAGCCATGAAAAAACTGTTAATCCCCACTGCCATAGTGGTAGATTATAAAAGAGCCTGCAGAGGTTTTCTGACCACAAGAATTCAGTATTTCAGTGTACCTACAACATCATGACGTCCATAACCAAAATCATTATTTTGATCACCGCAATCATTGCCAACAGCGGATATGCACTCGATGTCTTGGGTGACGATATAAATCAACCAACCGGTGAGTACCTTAATTTATTATAATTTTTGTTTTTATTTCGTTATTAGTAAGCACTTTATTGATAGTAATTTATCCTATTATTGGTATTTTTTTTATGATTAAAGAAACTTTAATTTTTGCAAATAAAATCTTTTTTTTGGATTTAGGACTTTTTACTCATTTGATATTTTTATTTATTTGCTTGACGTTTTTCTTGTTTGTAGTCTCATGTATATATTTAATAATGTCTAATTTGTTTTTGTTATTAATTTATAATCCATGCCATCATAATTTCAGCTCAAGTTTCCGATACGCCGTCCAATGTGAAGCGGGATCAGCCTTACCTGAGAAGATGTGATGACATAAGTGGCTGCGTTACAACCGATGGAAGTCTTGATTATCCGATAAACCGTGACTATCATGAAGTGATGAGACCAAAGGGCCCAAGATCTCTAGACAGCAAGAACGCCATCAGCAAGCTTTCAGGCCTGAGGTAAATGCATCTGATTTTTTACGTGTTGTTATGGGACCGACGATAGCCATTTATCCTTCTAGTCACTCCCTACTCTATAATATTCATAATCATTAAAATACAAAATATCAATAAATATAACTAACTACATTTCACTTAACGTCATCTCATGATCATATGTATAATCATTATACAGTAAAATCTCATTTGAATTAATTATGATATAAGGTGTGCCTAATTAAATTCAAAAACTACATTTCGGAGGTTTTAAATAAATTTTATGTAGGCATTTTTATAAATTTTTATAATGTGTATTGTAACGTGAAAATTAATAATACGTTAAATTTTTAATCGAATCATTTTTTTTTTCTTTGTATACAAATACAACTAGTTGTAACAGTTATTATTATAACAGCAGTAGGTACCTACCAATAATAATTATCATTTGAATTAAATTAAATACAGTTTTCGTATTATCCCGGAAGCAACATTAAAAACAAAGGAATTAGATTAGTTTCTTAATTAAAAGTAGTTTTATTACTTATAATCAACAATTTTAATCATTATATTATATTTCTTATGGCCTAATATTATTGTATTTTGTTCAAGATATACAATATTCAAAAGTGTAGGTAGACAAGTATACATTTTTTTTTTAACTATTCATCCACACAAAAATAATTTACTTATAATAATATTGAGAAATTAGTAGGAAATCAATGTCTCATCAGTTATTCGGTGTCTGTAAATTTATTCCAACTATGATCATTTTGTTGAACAAATATAGTTTAGGATACATATTTTAATTTATTATTCCATTGCAATTTTGAATGTTATAATATTTCTATTTTGGGTTGTGGAACGGTGCAGTGGTTGGTTTTTACGATGGAAAATTAATTGCTAGTTGGCTAAGCCCACGCATTAATAATCTGCTGAATCATTCTTCAGTCCGTTCATTAATTTAATTTTGTCCATTTATTCATATTTTTTGAACAATAAAAATGATCTACGTAGTTACTGAATTTGAATTTTAAATTTAAATTACATGTTTTGTTAATAATGACAGATTGGACAGCTGTGCTTGAGATGCTCAGTTCTAACTAGGTTTATTCATATTATTATAGAACTTGGAATAAAAAAAAATGCCTTTTTTCTATGGTGCCCTACATTTGCATATAAGTAGCGATGGTCGTTAGTTGTTACGGAATTTGTTTTTATTATATAGGCCATAGGGATATCGGTAGTGCACAGCAGAAGAATATATTTTAAAGTGGTGACCTCTAAAAAAAACATTGATTGCTTTTCTCATTAATACAAATAATTTTTTTTTACATGAAAAGGGAACGACGACAAGCTGTAGTTAAGACTAAAGGTTCAGATGATGGTCCTAATTCGGTTGTGTCACTCCTCGCCAGATCCAGTTCTCCATTAAGATCCATGATAAGAAACAGAAATCGTCGAACAATACCGGAGACATCTTCCAATAAAAACACTAGAGTGGAGAAACACACGAAGGATGTCACTAATCGAATAGCAACTACGATGTCAAATACTAAACGTTTACTTATGTTTTTAGTAACTACTCTTACTTCGCCAATCATTGTGATCACTCCAGAGTTTATAGACAACACCAAACTTTATACTTCTTAAAATTAATAATCTTATTCAAATATAAGATTATTATAAATTAATTATGAATCTTTAATTGTATTCTTTATACAAATTAAACAACACAATATCTTCTTATATAAATATTATTCAAAAGCTAAATAGTAAATACTCTTATTCCTTATTCAATATAAAATATAAATTTCCATAATTATAATATTATTATTCTAATAAACAATCGTAGATTTTTTTCACCTTGTATGAATTTATTGATGTCTTATCATATTTCTTACCACGAGAAGTTACTGTCGGAACTCAAAGTATTAATTGGACCAAATATATTGAATAGTTTACTATGCGGGTCTCACATAAAAATGTATCGAAAAAATCTATATTTTAAATAAAAATAAATAAAAACAAAATGTCATTCGTTGGTGATCTCACCACTTGAGAACGGCTGGTTCAGATTTGGCTAATTTAAAAAAGAAATGTTTGTAATAGTACGAATAAAGTTTATGTGGAATTAAAAATTAAAACAATTGAACAGGAAATTTGAAATTTTGGGAAAAACTGAATGTATGTTTTTGACTACCTGTCTGACTGATCAAAGTAGAGCCTTAATTATGATAGCTGGAGACTTGAAACGTCCGTGGTACCGAAAGTACTACCACTTAGGTGTGCACTAAAATTGCATTTTCTGAAATTCGCATTTTAAAGAGGTGTGAGTATTAGTGTATTTGTGTGTATAGGTGTACATTTATAGTTTATTTTTACTTTTTAAATAGTAACCTGGTTGTACCTAAAAAATATTGAAATATTAGATATTTTGACCTAGGGATATGTTAACAATTAACATAGAATTAAATTATAAATATGTGATATTTCTTATAGGTACAACGTACAAAATTCTCGATAAACACTTGGCCTCAATGTAACATTAATTTGCTCTCACTTTAAATAAACACAATATTCCATACCTACTTGAAATAAATGTAATTAAAATAAAATGAGAATTTGTAATTTTGAGATTATTAATATTATAATGATTTCTACCTAATTGTTATTTAATTGTAAATTTTAAAATACTGAATAAAAAAAAAAATTAAATTGTCCACAGCACTATTTTGTAATAGTATACAACCACGATTATAAAAAATGTATAAAGAATTTTAAAGAATTTATAATCGTGTTAACAACTGAACTTTATTAACTGCTGATAATAATAATGATATTACAATAGTAATAATAATAATAATAATACAACAGTTATACCTACGAGTTTTGAAAATATTCAATAATTTATCAGATAATTAACAGTGGCACCAAATGGATACATACCGGTACAATAATTTTTTTGTTCATATTATTATTATGATAATACCACCAAAAGTCCCACATCACAGTTCCCAGTTTAACTGGACTACGCCCCTCAGTGTTCAAAACGCGGTCAAGCCGACTGGTTGTGTATTTATAATAAAACATAATATTATTGTTTAACTATATCGATTAATTATATTTATAACTTTCATTGCATATTTATTTATTTTTTGATAAATATATATATATCCAGACAAAATGACCGACCTGCCATGGCTGATGTTTATAATGACTTTCATTAGTACGGTAATGAATGATTTTTATACGAATAACATTTATTAACTCTTTAGTGTTGTAACAATTGACATTAGTAGGTACCTATATGTACAGTAGGCAGGTACCTATCTAATTGTCAGTAGTAGGGTTTACATATTATCTTTTTAATATTTTAACATATAATATTTGATTCACTTTCAATAGGATTAAATGTAACTTTCCACTTCATGGTGCCCTGTAATATACAGATATTATATATTATTATCGTTGTACTTTGTAGGAAACTTATTGAATATTCTATTTTTTTTTTAGTTTAATACCTACCTAGTTGATAATGACTGAAGTCCGGACATAGATGACGTCTTTTGCATTTTTTAACCACTTCGATGAAGCTTTTCTAACTAAAATACGTTTTAATAAAATCTAAATAACTAATTTTAGATTCTGAGCTAAGCTATGAATGTATTAATTTAACATAGTGTGTTATTTTTTTTTTTAGTATAGTTTTTTGGTTTCTGTATACGTAGTTGAAATAACGCTTAGAATTTCAACTTCAATGTCTTTTCCAGTGGGAAAGTGAATCTAGTTAGTGCATTTTAATTGGGTGAATTTGAAAATGTAATAGGTACAAAGTTCATCGTAAATTGTTTTTAGTAGAAATAAAAAAAAAGTTGAGCGTATACCCACACTATATTGTTTTATAAGAGTCTGAAGTTCAAATTTTGACGAAATTCGTAAAAATCACGAAAACATGCAAATTAATGAGATCTTTAGAAATTCATGAAAATTAATCATTTTATATCTAAGATTTGAAAATTTAATACAAGATTCTTCATCAAAAAAAAAAAAGTTTACTGGAAATTCACATTATATTTTTATGAGTGTTTAAAGTTCAAATTTGCACAACATTGAATATTCACTTGATTCATAATGGAGTGATTTTCTTATTTTTCTCTCAATTCAAAAACGAATAACTGTTGAATTCATCTATTTATTATATCATTCTCTATACTTGATAATATTTTCAAAATATTTTCACTCGTTTTGGGCTATTTTAGCTGAACAATTTAGTTTTTTTTCTTTAAATATCAATACAATTTTATTCGTTGAGTCGAAGAGCTTGACAATTTAATATAAGGCTCCTGACACATCGTTAAAATATCAGTTTTAAAATATTAAAAATACATAGCAATTTAAAGTTCAAATGATGACAAAATTTCTCAATAGAAATGTACAAATTATTTTGCAGTTAAGAATTTATAAAAGGTTAATTTTTGTAGCTAAGGATTGAAAATATAAAACAAAGTCCCCGAAAGTAGATAATTCTGTTTTCCAAAAAATCTGAAAATATATTTACAGTTTTTTTTAAAAATTATTTTGAGTTCAAATTTGGGCAAAATTATAAATTTAAACGAAGAATATCGATTTTAATTTTGTGTTGTAATTTAAAAATATTATTCGTAGGTAGGTATTTGAAACTTCTAAAGTATATCATTATATTTTGTCAACATTTGAACTTCATACGCTCATAAAAAACTATTGTTGATTTACTTTAAACTTTTTTGTAACAGTTTCATGTTTTTGATTGTGTGAAAATGTTTGTATCGTTTTTTAATAAAAAAAAAAACTAATAAAAATTGAACATTTTATATGCATATACCTATGAATAGTTAAATATGAGTCAATATATTTTGAAAATAATATGGTGTATAGAAAATGTTTATACGAACATTTCGTGAAAATTGCATGTATCTACGATAATTTATTTTAGAGTTACACCAAATACCAAAATCGATTTTTTGTTGTAAAAATTCCCGTTTTTACTTAATTTTTATTTTGTTTTTACCGGCGCTTTAAGAAATTACTAGGAATTTTAGAATTTAACCTCTTCAATGCTTAACTAGATTTATTTTCAAACTAGAAAAGATATTGAAGCTTAAAATCGAATCATTATTTCGATTACTTATGGTGTATACCTACTGACACACAAAAAACACATCATTGCAAAATGAATACATTCATCACTCCGTTCAGAACATAAAATAGTTCAAATCTCTCTAATATTACTATTTTACACTAATCAAGAGTAAAATCATGGTTTTAATATTAAAATTTTTTTATTTTTCATTTTTATTTTAGATAAATAAATATATTTTAAATTCAGAGCGGATTGATGAAATGTGTGTCTTTTATTATTTCTGTCTGTATATACACGGTCACTAATCAAAATAATAATTCAAATTTTTGACTTCAGTATTTTTTCTGGTTTAAAATTGAACCTAGTTGGTTCTTTAGACTTTATAGAGGGGTCAATATTTAAAATTCCCTTTATTTTTATAAAACGTTGGGAAGAAAAAAAATGAAATTAAAGAAAACCGGAAAGTATTAAGCAAAACCAGTTTTCGAAAAAATCAATTTTATTTTATTTGTCGTAGGCAATTTAACCCGTCAGTGGTCGCGATGTGAGCGCGGCGCTCACCTCGTTAGTATTTTGAGAGCCATTTGTTTATTTATTACTTGATTCATCTGATACTATTTATACCTTCAATCGACACATATTTAAGTATACTTTTGCAAATATAAAAATTGTAAAAATAATTCTTGATTAGATATCGACATGCAATGTTGTTAATATCCATAAATTCAGCGTTTCACTCACTCAATAGGTCAACCAAATACTTTTTCGTAAACTCAGACCTATTTTTAAGTAGCACCCAACATTTATATGTGTACTGTATGATAATCAGCAAAATGTTCCAGACCACTAAGGCGAAGATGAATGATAATGATTATCTTATTATATAATTATGTATAAAAAATTATAAATTAATTTTTAGTGGTTAACAATTTATAATCGAGAAAAATTGTAAGAACATTTTTTGTAAAAGATTAAACTATAAATAATTCGTTGTTGGTTTCAATATTTTATGTTCATTATATAATAAATAATGATGAAAAAACAACAAGGTGAGCGCAGCGCTCACTCAATACCAATGGCGGGACTTTACATAGCGATACCAACGACGGGTTAAAAACAAATTACATTAATAACTTGAAATTCTTACTAAGTATTTATTATAAGATAATGTTTGTATTAGCATATTCAATACACCATACAAATTGCTAAATATTTTGACTATTTGAACTATAGACTTTATTAATTATTTTTTAATTATTGCCAAAATACAATTTTTCACTCTCGATAGTTGAAAATTTGCCACTATTTTTGTGGTACTTACTGCTGAACAGTAATTTATAAGTTGGTCACTGTAATGGATGGTGTTTAATTTGAATTCAATGATAAGATATTATCACTGTATACGAAAACCTATTCTGGACGTTTGTCCGACGGTTTGTCAGCCTAGGATATTTTATACAATATTTATGTTGTTACTATTAATATGGTAGAGGGTAACTGGTAAGTAAAATTAATATTTTTTGCATATTATCTTATTTTAATATTTTTATATAATAATATACATGAGAAATTTCAAGTAATAGAATAATATTTTTAAATTACAACAAAATAACTAAAATCGTTATTCTTGGTTTCTTATAATATGTATAATTTCGTCCAAATTTCAACATAAAATAACTATAGAAAAAAACTATATTTTTATATTTTTTATATTTTTGGTTACAGAATAACCTAGTTATCTTGTTTTAAATTTTTAATCCTTTCTATTAATTTGAAAATTTGATACATGTTTAACAACAAAATTTTAAATTTGATAAAGTATGTAAACATTTGATCTTTAAAAGCCTATAAAAAAAAAAATCTTGCTATGTATTTGTAATATTTTTAAGCTGATACTGAAAAATATGTACATAACTTCAATTTGAATTAATTTTTACGTAGGTACCTATTTTATCAAAATTATTATTATTACATTTTTTTTAATTTAAATTTTTCTGGAATATAGTTTAAATCTTATATGTACTAAACACCTTTTGGTTGTTTAGGTTTAGGTTGTCATTTTTAGTAAATTTTATTTTATTGTTTCAGTGGCTTAATTCCATAACAGAACACACTTTTATATTAAACAATAATTCTCACCGGGAAGAAAATGTATGGTTATCTACAAAGAATGATACCGAAGGAACAAGTTATCAAGATAATAGAACTATAACCACGACTTTAAGTTACAATGAAAACCAAAAGTAAGTTGACGGATAATTCTTATTTAGATTTCAAGGTTTCCTTACTTCATAATATTACTTCGGTTTAAAAGTCAAAAGTATTTTAAATACCAAATCATTCAAGTATTTAACATAGGTTGTACGTAAGTACATACAATGCTTAATATTAGTATAATAGTACCTACGTACCTAGTATGTACTCTAGGCAGTTTTGTAAAGAATACTTTTATTTTGTATTCGGAATACCTACATATTCGAATAAATGAGAATTAATATAATATACAGAATACGTATTCGAATAGTTCTTAAAAAATATATTCAGAATACATACTCGAATACTAATAGAATACTTTTTTTCACAACTAGTTTTTTTCAATTTTAGATGGTTGGTAATTAACATTTATTAATTAATAATTAAAAATACATCGTAATTATAAGTTATTTATGCATTTTTACCACATGTGATAAGGCCGATACGGCCCATACAGGATACAACACATTGGTGTTTATAAAAATAATTATATCATGGGCCAATATTATATTTCACTCAAAGAATAAAATTAATGTTCATGATTTATAATATGTCTTGTCACAAATTTAAAACTATTTTTCTGGATCGGTAAAAAGTATTTTTTTAATGAATAAAAAATACAAAAAAAGTATTCAAATACTTTTATTCGAATACATTTATTCGAATACTTTACAAGACTGCTACTAGGGTACCTAAATACTAGGTACATATGTGTCTACAGGGACGGCGCAATAACTTTTGCACCAGGTGGGTCAAGATAAGGTTAACTTTTTTACTTGATGTACATCAAAACGTGATCACACCATTAATTATTGAGATTTAACTAAAGTAAAATATAACGAAAATATTTTGAATTAACAGTAAATATTATAGTTTGTAATATAAATTTAAATATACCTTCCTATTACGGACGCACACAGTCACACAGTAAGCATTTCTTTTAAGTTAAACAATATAAATAGAAAAATATAATGGGCTCCTTGCTGCTATACCTAATATTTATAGAGTTTGCATGTATTTTTCAAATATTGTGCTCATTAAAAATACAAAATATATGAAACAAGTGCGGAACAATATTTTTGATTTTTGATTTATAGTTAAAACACAGTAAACACAATTGTTAAATTGCATTGCAAATACACTGATTTTGAAAATTATTATTTATTTTTAGAAATGTTATTGTTACTGATATTGAAAATATAAGAGTTATAGATTTACCAACAGCCAACTTGACAAACTCTTCATCGATTGTTTTTCCAACTTCAACTAGTGAGAAAATTAAAATAAATACATTTCTACCTGAACAAAAGGCAATTGAGAAATGCTCATTGAATGCAAGTTATTGCATCAAAGTTGATAATTATCCAAGGTACCTAACAAAAAATAAAATTAGCAACCTAAAAACTAATCTTGTTCAAATGACTTGTTTTTTTTTTATTATTAGAGAAGATATATCAAATATTTTTAGAAACAGCAAGTATATGTCAACTCCTTATTATGATATAGATGCTATGAATGAGGTTTAAACAATATTTCAAATTATGATAGGTACCAATCTAATTTTCAAATTAATTAAATGCATTTATATTTTAGATAAATGATTTTGAAACAAGAATATCAGATTCTCAACTTGAATCTTTCTGTCAGTCAAGAGTAAGTACTTACCTACCTATCTACTAATATTAATATAATTACCCACAGACTATTTTTTATTGTCTAATAAATACAATTGCGTACAGTAATGACATTTGAATGCTACAAAAGTACCTACTTATAAAACAATTTTCACTTTATAATCAGCAAACAACTGATGTTCCTACATGTTTCGTCAATAATTGTCTTATTTCTTACATTATGACCATTATGTACCTATATTACAGTCGTTTAGTCGTTTAGAGGTAAGCAAGAGAAATAATTTAGGTTAAATATAACCTAGGTGGCTGACAGTCAATTAGTTGGGCCATGGAGATGCAAACCTAGAACCCCTTAATGTAGGCACAAGTATGGGCATTTATATAAATACAAATTGAAACTGTGCCTAGGATTTCAAGTTAGGTAGGTACCTGGGGTATTGGTCTTTGTTGCGGTAAATATAATATAATATTTATGAAAGGTAATTTTTTTACAGTTGAAAATCGAGAAATGTTGGTTTATTTTAATTGAAATTCCGCCTGGTATATCAATATACAAAACTGGTCAAAAAAAAATTCGTTATGGATTACGGTATGATACTATGATGTATAAAATTATAAGTGTTAAATACACTTTCCATTTATCGAAGTATATTGTTATATCAGACGGAACATCAATTAAAATTATCCGAAACTTCTCGATTTTCAACTGTAAAAAAATGTTCATGTTATTGACGCAATCGGAACTACTTTCTTGTCGATTAACTCGATAATTTGACTATTACTTATATAGCATAATCTAACCATATAATTTTCACAATTTCGCAAAGAAATAGACAATTATAACAATTTTCCATGAATGAAAAGGATTTCCTAAAGTCTAGAATTTAAATATATTTGTATTAATTGTATACATTTTGTACTGTTATTTACCATACATTTAGGTACTATAAAACTCAACATTAAATTTTTATTTAACTTAAAATATTTTCTAGACAGAAGTAATATATCCAGAAGCCGGTATTACATCAAAAAACGAATGGCGTTTTATTGTACAAACTCCAGAAACTAAAGACAATGGCACTACCATTAAACAAGGAATTCTAGTGGAGAAATGCATGTAAGTATTAAATTTACAAAGTTTAAGATTTTAAATTAATTTATTTATTTGTAGCAATACTGGAGTTCCGTGCAAATTTGATTCTTCTTTACCACCAGGACACGTGTCAACCTGTGTACAAAAATATATCTACAAAAGATTAATATCCATTGAAGGTTCTAATTTTGACTTTGATACTTTTAAAATGCCATCTTGTTGTCAGTGTATGTATAGAATAAACGAAGACTAGTTAACAAGAAAAGGCGTAGATTAAGAAAATTGAAACATTTTTCATAAATAGTCTGAAATCTCAAAAAGAAACAAAAATGTGTTCTATGAAAGAAATTACAAATCTAAGACAGTTAAAAAAAAATAAAAGTATACTTATTAATATATTTAATACAATGTAGCAATTTATCTGCTTTATTAAATGTTTTATTTATAAAATTGAAATGTAAGCATTCAGTTAAGAATACGATGTGAACTGAAATAAAGTTATTTTTTAGTTATCATTTTTGAAGAAATTAATTTTTATTTATTAAAATTATCACTGTACCTATTATTATATTATATTATAAAACTTTCAAATATAACTGAATTGTCAAACTTCATAAGTGATTGATTAAATACTTGTCATATGAATGCATCATATCACATTATCACTTAGGTACCTACATGTTTAAATATACAAGGTTATTGCATATTGTTATGAAACAAAAATAAAATGGCAGCGTAAAGGTACGGTCCATATCATAGTATATAATATCATTTTATAGCCAACATACTTCGTCCCCTTAAGCTGCCATTTTAATTCCCAAACATGATAAAACGATATAGTGGGGGTACTGTTGCATTAACCTTGAAAATTTAAGCCACGGTACCTTCTAAAGATATAACTTATTTCTTATACATATATATTACAATAATACAGTATGCAATGGTAAAAATGAATTTAAAAAAATAAATAAATTACATTTTTTACCTATATGACTTAACTTTTGACGGTTCAAATGATCAATTTTGGGTTAGAAAATGGATTATTAAATGTCCTCTAAGTTTAGTATAATATGCATTAATACTTTTAACTGAAATACCTAATTTACAAGAGCCAAATCATGTTTTCTTTTAACTAATTTTTTATATACTTAAATAGTTTAACCGGTTAATCTACAAATGCTCAAAAATAAACAAACTTATAGGTAAACATAGTTCATTATTTATGGTAAATGTTCGTGGTATAAAATTCAGAACAATTTATTATTATAATTAAATAACAATTTACCTACTATAGGTACCTACAATAATTTTTTTTAACTGTATGAACAGTTATTTTTAACTGTGAAAAAAATATATTTTTGGGATAAAGATGGGGCCCCAAAATCAATGGGCCCCGGGGGTGTATGTAATTTTGCGCCAAAAACAACCAAAAAAAAATATGTAATTGCGCCAATCTATAAATTGTATTTTGGTAGTTTGCGCCACTTTTTAAGTTTGTAATTTGCGCCAATAAACTAAATAAAAAGGCAATATGTAATCTGCTCCATCGTTTACCCTATAAAAAATTGTAATTTGCGCCATAGTTTCACCTTATAATAGTTCACCTGTTATAATTATAAATACATATATACAAGTAAAACGAACTCCATATATATTAAATAAGTAAATTTTCGTTTAGTAATAAAACATATAAAAATCAGTCATATTATCATTATAATAAATGTATACAGTTAATACGAACTCCATGTATATTAAATAAGTACATTTTATAATTTTATAAAACCATAATTTTTGAAATAAAATACCTAGCTACCTATAAATACCTAGCTTACTCGCGTTTTTTTAATATTTATAGCTTCATGACGAAACTAATCCTTTTCTGTCAATTTATTTTGTCTGTAGTCTTCATATTACGATTACGTCTAATAGAGGCGATATGTCTATTATTAGTAGAACACAACAATATTATTACTGGACACACGTTCGGTACTTATATTGTAGATCCTATGCGAATATGTAATATTTCTCTTTATCTGCTCCGTAATTCAACAATATTGAAGTTGAATGTGGCGCCAATTACCTATTCCATTTCGTTTTTTCGTTTTCTGTCGTGGCGCAAATTACCAAAATTAATTTGTATATGTGGCGCAAAATACACATTATATTTTTATATTTTGGGCTCACTTACATATGCCCTTAAATGTACCTTTTTATGGCGCAAATTACGGTCAAAATTGTCGCAACATACCATCTCCCGGCCCCGAGACGTGCCCCCCCTTGCCCCCCCCCCTTCAATCCCGGCTTGAGTCTATTTTATCAGGTAGGCAATCTACTTGAGATAGATCGCGGACTCTGCGTTTTGGGTAGGTAAATGTAGTACCGGTAGGCATGTAGGTACGCAGGTAAGTGTATAATTTAAATCTAAGGTATCAGAGTTATATAAAATTTGTCGTTTTTACTTAATTCAACGCACGGTGAATTAATACAATCGATTAAATTAATCTAACCTAACCGTACGTACTAAAATAGGATGAATAAAAAAAAAAAAAATCATTCGTTTATTATATTATAATCGAATAATATAACTTATACCGCCGGGTCTTGGGTGTAAAAATGACTCAAATACTCAATACATGTACAAAAGTGAATGCGTTTGTTGGTAAAAATCTAACCTACCTATCGAAGTTCATACTGGCGTGGACACAATATCGTCTTGAGGCATTTAACTAAAGTACTGACTGCTGTGTAGATTTTATTTGGTCCTTATATAGGATAGTTTTAATGTAATCCCACTATTATTAATAGGTATCTGCTAAACGAAACTTTAAGGAATCACGATGCACTTATGGTTGTATGAAACCTAGTACGGTGTGTAGCAAGTGCTGTAAGCAGTGGAGACCCTTGGGGCCCCTCCCAAAATGTTTTTAAAAATTTGTTTTTTGCTTGTTTTATATTAGGTATATTATATTATTATGAATGAAAAAATTAAAAGTGAAGGCAGTCGAAAACCATTTTTAAGGGGTCGGATTGAGTAAATATTCTATAACCATCTTTAGTGTTGTTGTTACGTGTGTGTAGTGACTGATCATAGTTTGTGTGACTTCTCCGAACGCATTAAAAATAACTACGGCTAAGATTCTTGGAAATCCGAAACGTATATACTCGCAGTCACACGCCACTATATTTATTATTTTGCAATTAAAAATGTTCAACTCCCATGTGCCACAAAAGTCTCAAAAAGCGACGAAAAAAATTAAACCAAAGTACCAAAAGTTCAATTTTTAGTTTTGAAAACAATATTTAATTATTAATTTCTTTTCTAGGTTATGTATGGTACCAAATCAACTTTCATTTTTTTTTTTTTTTCAAAATTCACGTTTACTTTGTTATTGTGAACAATATAACCTAACATTTTTTTCCTTTTATTATTAGAATGCAAGAAAAAACGAACAGTTTTCAACAGCTTTAATAGAGTCTTGTATCTTGTTTGTAAATTTTTAAACTTATAATATTTGAACAAAAAACACAATATATTGATAAACTTACTTATATTAATGGTTAATGAATACATCAACCTATGGTTTACAATAATGTTATTACATTGTTATATTAAAGGGTACCTACCACAGTTGTAAACGTAATATATAATCACAAAAACAGATGATACACTTTATGAACAAAGGGGTCATAATTAGGTACCTATTCTAGTATTTGGAAAAACTAGAAAAAAAAATTAAGTGCCCCCCTCGAAAAAAAATGTCTGCCTACGGCACCGGTGTTGCAGAAGTACCGCCAGTTAAGAATTTCTGTTGCTTTTTAAAACATCGGATTTGTCTGTAAACACGTGTACATCATATGTTTTGTTTAATTTAGCAGTCTTGTGAAAAATTATATTTAAAAAGTAATAAGATACTAATTATACTAATATTTGATTAAAAAAATATTAAAAATACTTTTAAAATACTATTATAAACTTGTATTTTACGAATACTCACTAAGACTAAGTATTTTAATACAAATAGTTACAAGTATTTTTTTGAAATTGTAGGTATGCTTTATAATATATATTATGTATATCAATATCAGTACCTATACCAATTATGGTAGGTATTACTTTAACAAGTTCACAAATACTTTAACATGTCTGATGATTTAATGGTAAATAGATGTTAATATATTATTTAAATATTTAATTCGCATATTTTTCAATTAATACCTATTGAAATAATTAAATAACAAAACAATAAATAAAAAGTGGTGATAACTAATAATATGGAACTATTTTAAAATTATTAGGTTTCTTTTTAATTAATTTAAACATTATTATTTAATATTTACTATACAAAATATTTTCTGTTTTTATAAATTAAATATCATTAATTTTTTTTTTTATTAATTCAAAATGTCGTTTCTGATTGAGTTTCAATTAGAATTTCAATAACCATAATTTTCTCGTTTCTAGTACCTAAGTTACTAATAATATCCGGTGAATAATATAACAATTATTAAATTTAGCAACCTTGAAAAAAAAAAATATATTCTAGCGTTCTCAATAATTTTACTAAAAATTCATACTTATTATCCTTCTGCCCGGGGACCAAATTTTGTACACAATACAACACAAATGTAATAGTATGGATATATGTGTATACTGAATAATATTCAGACATAATATGTCTATTAAGATATTTATATCGACCTACTTGAAAATATTCTATAGATGCGCTACCGCGGCTTACACTGGTTCGGTGAATCTGCAGTTATATTATACAGTTTGAAGAGCTTAATTTAAATTCCGTGAAGTTTAATAGTAAATTAACTAATAAAATATTATTATATAATTATATTATATTATATACCCATAAATGCAGGTTAAATATTATTATTATTATAAGGCTGAAATAGAATGTGTAATTCTACAATAAGTATAGAAATATTTATACAAGCATTTTTACTGAATGAATGAATACTTCATAGTTTTTTTTAAATATTATAATATGACGTTAGTGTGCGATGCCACGTAAGTGTCTGAAAGCGCTGAAGCCCTGAACCGCAAAGTCATAGTCGGTGTGATTTTTTAAACATTAGTATTTATTTATTTTTCTAAATTTAATTTAATATTGTACTTTGAAAATTGAATAAAATTATTAAAAACACTATAATATTAGATAATAAAATAACAATGAGCAACTCCCGCAGTGTGTAGGGAAGTCCACCCCTCACCGTCTTCCATAAACATATCCCCATATTCCC